CAAACTGCGGAAGAACAAAAAGAAACTTCCATGGTTATTTGGCACGTCTGTTCTTGGAATAAAAAAGCATCAATCCATAAATCTATCTGTTCAACTGAAGTTAAATCTGTGAACTGGAATTAGAGGACTAGAGAGATTTCAGGTTTCATTGATTCCTTTCTTGGGAAAATTGTTTGAGTTTCACTTTAAGGCTCTGCTCTTCCGTTCATACCCTGTGAGTATTGAAGGGGATCTATATCCTAGCTGGTTTTTAAAATATTCCTCACAYTGGAGTCCAGAACCTGCCCTGTGCCTGTTTGATAGATGTTTTTCCCTTTACTTCTCTTTCCAGATAGCYCAAAGCATTCAATGTTGCAGTCCACAAATCCACATGGATTGGTTATTTTATGTTTTCAGTCTTACATGTGCGAGGCTCAAATGTAGCCTTAYGTAAGCATAAGGCTTACATGTAAGTGATGTACATGTGTAGGACTCAGAACTCTTAGAAAGAATGATAGAAAGTTATCTCTGCTGCAAGAGCAGCATCTTGTGTGAGTTCTTACAGCGCTGGCTCTTACAGAGGTTTAACGTCATAAATGACTAAGTCAGACTTGCATTTTATTCTTTTCTTCTCCCTGCTGTCTTCTCTTGCCCTACATCTGCTTTTGACAAATTGTAGGCATAGGTTTCTGAGGTATTTGGGAAGGGAGTATATGATTATAAATTTGAAGTTTTTTCTTGTGGGAGAGCAGATGTAGCCAATGATGGTTTAAGAGGTTATAAAAAAATGTTGTAGCTGGCTGGCACTCTCCAAAATCTAATTTGTGGACTGATACAGAGTAGTGAGCATTCCTGGTTTTGAGTGTAGTAGGAGAGTCTTGCATTATTTTTTTTCTTTAGTAATAGGTTTGGGTTCTTTACTTCCAGGACCCTACATCTCACTGCCAGAAGTGTTCCATTCTATTTTCTAAATCCCTTGTAGTAATTCTCAGTTTAAATTTAATCTTGCTGTAAACTGAGGTTGTTCTGGCAAGTAAGACCAGAGGCATTTATTTATCTTGTGAGAAGGAGCTGTAGTATGTGACTTCTCTAATTAATTAATGTATTTATGGCTTAAAGCTCTGTACATGACAAATCCAGACTTGTCTGATAGAAGAAGATAGTTTTGTGGATTAGGTGATRGAACTGCAAAATCGTATATCAGCTGTCTGAGACTCTTTCATTAATGTAAATACAAGCATATGTTAGCTTAATTRGCACAATTCTCACTATACTCCAGCTTTCAGTTTTTTAGAGATTGCAGCCAGGARTGAACTTGTTATACAAACTAGTAAATAACTGGACTAATGCAAGACCAAGAGGGACCAGGATACTGCAGCCTGTCTTAAAGGAAAGTGCTCCAGCTAAACCTTCAAACTTACTGCAGGGTTAGACAGAGTGAATGTGTTGTTACATTACGTTCCCAAGTTGTAATGTCASGTAATGTTAGACCACTGCATGTTCAGTCCTGGGAAGTAAGGAAAACTGATTAATTTTGCAAACAAGACAAGGACATTATGGCAAAGAAATCCTGTAATGGTCAAGAAGTCCAAAACTTGGCAACATCTGCTAGAATGGTTTCTAATCCTACAGCCAAGGTACAAAGTGGATTGTTGGTGGGTTTTTGGGGCTGGTGGGGTGGTGCTGGTAGTTGTTGAGGAATACAGTTTGATGTCAGACTTGAAAAGCCTTGAAGAAATAACCCAAATAACCTCTATTTCAGGAACTTGGGATCTAGCCATTGAAGAGGAGAGATGTTGAAATTTTGTGTGCTAGTCCTGCTAGTTTTTGTTGGTCTCAGTTCACAATACATGGATTGTGCTTTTAATGTATCCAAATCCAAAGATCCAAATGTATCTTCTAAACTTTCAAAGGAAGAGAGAGTTTTTTGTGTCTTTTGTATCTCCCCCTTCTCAGAAAGCAGGTGATAKGGGAATGGAATTAGAACAGCARCCTCGTGGATCTCCACCTCCARTCAGTCTTAGRGTGCTCAGGAATTTTAATGTCTGCWTTGCTTTCTGGTTCTTTCCCAGGCAGCAGCATGGAACTGGCCTGATGTTGGACAATCACACAGCAGCTCTCAGGGCCTCAGCAGCAGCAGTGAATCTGTCACACTTCATGTTGAAATTGCTCTGCTGCTAGCTTACAGTTGCTGTGAGCTGCTGCAGACACAGATGATGACACTGTCCGTTTAAAAAAGCTAAAGTTTCTACTGTAACTGGCTTGGCTTTGCCAGTTGCTGGAGGAAATTTGGTAGCAGGCCAGTGGCCTCTTGAAGCCCTCAATTARCTTTGAAAGTGCTATGGAAATGCTAATTTTAATAACATATGTATTAAAAAATCAAGTCTTGAACATTGTAGGAAGAATCCCACGTTGGCTGATAATACATTGGTCATGCCATCAGTTGGCTTATCACTGGCAGTTACTAAACCAAGCAGGATTGTGCACAAAGTGCAGCTTGTGCTGACTTTAAGCTGTAGCGTGGGACCTGCATTTGGCCTAGAAATAGAAACAAGATGCGGTCAATTCAGGTTGAAGTTTCTCTCTGTTCATTCTGTATAATTTTAATCCAGATTTATGGCCTCAGCTTGCTGATCTCTGTTAATGCAATCATAATTGTTTCCACCAAAGTCTACTGGGTGCAGAAGTGATGGACAACATTTCCATGCTGGTGTTCTAATGGTTTATTTTGTATCCCTCTTGTTGGATGATCAAAGATTTCCACGTGGTGGCTATTTTTGGCTGAGAAAAAAGATTTCTGTTGATAGTTGCTGGTTTTGTGACATGAAGTCCCTAAAATTTTAATCTTAGAAGACTYAACTTTGGATGTGGTCATGTTACCATTTTAAAGTTCTTAGAACAACAGTGGATGTACTTGGATTGAGTCAACCAGTATCAGTAATTTTTCTGCCTGGCAGTGTAAATTGCYCTATTTGGCATCAAGGCAGCCAAGTTTAACTGTAGGGCTTTTTATAGCGCAAGAAATGATGCTTGACTTAAAAATAAATCCATTTCTTATTAAAACCAGATTTTATYGCTGAATTGCTTTGTATAGAGGTTTTATATGTCAGGAATATATATTTAGATATTCATTTACCCAATTAAACAACTGTTCCGTGGTATGTATTTTTTGAGAAGTCAGTCATAGTAGATGTTTGTTCCTTACCCTTTGGGCATGGGTAGGAAACTTACTTAGTACACAGTTTGTAGGCTGTTAATGAGTCCTGATCAAATCACTGTGAGGAACTCACATGGCAGATTACCTTTCTAACAATTTCACTGTAAATACTCTTTCAGTGAGTASAACACCTTCCATCAGGTTTTGTTGCCTAAATGGAGTGTTGTGAAAACTTGTAAGAYTTTTTCTTAATCATCTAATGGACTAAATCGAGAATGTTCTTCCMGTGTTGAATTGCATAAAGAGGAAAGGGAAATGTCACTCTGTTATTACTCTTTACCTAAAAGTTTTAGCTTGGGTAAGGCTTTCTTGTGTGTAGAAAGAAAATATTCCACACTTTTGGAAAGAGGCAGGTTGGAAAGTGTGGAAGTTAAAAACATTGATCCTGCTGGATAATGTGACAGCAGAGCTCCGAGTGACGTTCAGGATGGTCGACAGATCTTGGCTTTGACCTGCATAACCAATGTGTTCTATAGCCAACAGCCTCAAGATGCATTCACAAAGGTGGGAGGTGTAAGAAGTATTTCCCAGTTGGATCAGGGTTTYCAGGAGGTCTCAGTTCTTCATTAGGCATGTTAGACCAAGCCCTTGGTGATGCAGTCTCAGCAGTCTTAGCCCACTCCCACCCCTCAGCAGCCAGCAGAGCTGTGTTGCTTGATATGGGATGGAGTACAGCTGCCCTGACCAGCTCTGAGGCTGCTGATGCTGTGAGTAGTTTGAGAAACTCAAGAGAAACCAAAAAAATGGTGTAGATTTTTGTTTTAAATTATCCTATTACTGGTGTTTAGGAGAAGCAACAGTATGAAGGAACTAAAGGTATCTGGTGACTAAAGTATATTCATTTAGAGTTCTAATATGTGAAAGTCCTAAATCACAAGACCTTGTTTAATATTACTGGCACTGTTTTTTTCCATGTATAGCTCCTCTCTTTTTTAAATAAATGCTTTAATTTCCACTCTATGTTAATTTTAAGAAAGATGTTAATGTCTCTCTTAGACCTGTTTCTGCTGTAATTTTCCTCTGCTTGATTTTTTTTCAATGAATATGTCAAATAATTGGTTTTCCCTCTTCACTCTCAAGCCAGAGCTAAAAATCAGTAACACATCATCATCATCTTTTCATGCTTCAAATGAGATTAAATTAAGAAACGCATGTTCTTATTACAGAAGGGTGCCCATAGCATAGTGGCAGATAGTGAAGAATGTTTCATGTTCAATGTTTCATGCCTGGGGTAGCTGTGTGCTAGCTAAAGGATACTTGTACTTTTCTAAAGCTGGCCTGTGTTAACAATGCATGTGTGTATCTATCTTCATGTTAATGTTGATTTAACTTAAATGAGATGCCTGCTCTCTCACCTGCAGCCTGATCARCTGTTGAATTGAACAATTGAAGAGAAGATTTGATACTTGATTGAATTTAAAGACTTGGCAGTTTTCTTCATAAACTATGCAAGTTATCATAAGATGGTTTGGGCTTGTGGGACCTTTAAAGCTCATCCAGTTCCAACCTCCATGGGCAGGGGCATCTTGCACTAGACCTGCACTAGGTTGCTCCAARCCCTGTCCAACCTGGCCTTGAACACTTGCAAGAATGGGGTAGTCACAGCTTCTTTGAGCAGCCTTGTGCCAGGGCCTCACAGGGTGGAATTTCTTCTCMATATTCTATCTGAGCCTGCCCTCTTTATGCTTTCTCATTTGATGTTTTGAAATGGAAGCTGACAGTCTGAGTTTGCATTCCTGCTGCTGTAATGGAGGTGTTTGCACATGTCGGGAACCTTTATCATAGCTGTAATTTCTSCTTGCAGGCTCCACAGAGCTCAGTGTGCAATTAAACAGACTCAGGTAACTGTTCAGAAAATAGGAAAGGAGATTGAAGAGAAGCTGAGATGTACATCTACAAGGAATGAACTGGTATGTTTGATTTATTAAACCTTATTTTATGGGCTTGCTGAAGCATCTGACTGATGTCTTGACTATAAGCTTGAGTTTTTTTGACACTTGAACTTGAAATCTTTCTTTACACCTGTCGTTTTAAATGGGAACTCATCTGAGAGCTGTGTAGTATCATGAATTTGAGTTGTGTGTGTTACTTGGATTGATTGTTTATCCCATTTTTACCTTTATTTTGTAYAATCATGCTATCAAAGCCTAAACATTGCACAGTGCATGAAAGAGGTCTTTCAGGAAAAACAAACTTCTAATGATTTATATGAAACTTAACAGGAATCTGAAGTAGATTTAGGGCGAGGTAGGTTTCCTGGCTGTATCTTCTTGCACCCTGACTCCCACTGGATGAACAGAGTTTATGCAAATGCTCTCACTCAAGTGACATAATAATTTTAAGCAGAAATTGTACTAGATCTTACAATAGCTTTTGACAGTTTGTTTTGCTTGCTCTCTCCCCCCCTTCAGAAAAGTCTGTTGGCATTAGTTTCTGCTTTCTGCTCAGAAAAGCTGAGTTTTTGGTKCAAAGCAAGGAGTTGACAGAACAGGAGTCATTTGTGGTGACTTCATTATGTTGGTACTCATTGGCATGTGTGTGGTGCCTTGCATAGGAAAGGGCACATTTGCAGTGTGAAGTTACTTTATTGTTGTAAAGGAGATTCTGGGTKGAGAATACTCACCTAAGTTCCAAAAGTGTCAAACTGGTTCAAGGATTTGACAAAATGGAAAAAAATGGGAGTTTGTTTACCCTCTCTAGTTACGGGGTTTACACTGTAGATGAAGAAATCACCTTCTGTAAGCTCTGAGTGCCAAAAGTGTAAAATCTCTTGTAAAAAAAATGGGAGTTTGTTTACCCTCTCTAGTTACGGGGTTTACATTGTAGATGAAGAAATCACCTTCTTCACTCAAGCTCTGAGTGCCAAAAGTGTAAAATCTCTTTTAAGTTTTCCAACCCAGAGCTTCTTTGCCTTCTGCTGATGTCTTGACTGTTTAACTGTCATCTTTTTCAGTTATGGATATCCCTATTCCTCCTTGTAAAGATTTTTTGTTTTTAAATATCTGAGAGCAAAACTATCGTGCAATCCTTATATGTTCTTAGTTGGAAGGGACTTTAATAAAGCTCATCCAGTTCTACTCCYTGCTAGGGGCAGGGAGGCCTTCCACTAGACTAGGCTGCTCTAAGACCTATCAAACCTGGCCTTGAATTCTTCCAGGAATGGGGCAGTCACAGCTTCTCTGAGCARCCTGTGCCAARGCCTCACCACCCTCACAGGGAAGAATTTCTTTCTAGCATCTAATATAAATCCTCTTTTAGTTTAAACATGCTCTACTTTGTCCTGTCACTATCTCCTTGTGTAAAAGGTCCCCGCCCTCTTTTTTATAAACTCCCTGAAAGTATTGAGGGGCCACAGACAAATTTCTTAGCAGCCATGGTCTGTTGGAAATGTTTATTTATTTTACTTATTTTACTTATTTTACTTATTTTTCTTTTCCTTTGTTCAACTGTGGAAGCTTTTGTCGGGCTTCTGTTCCCCTTTATATGTATGTGAACTGTAGTTCCATTCCTTAACATACAGTCATACTTCCTGCTGCAGTTTTGACCCACAAGGCAGAGTATACATGTGTAATAAAGTCAAACATGAAGCAGAAGGAAGAATTCAGCAAAAGTTGACTTATTTTCAGGCAGTTACTGTTGAAGCAACATAATCTTCATTTAACTGCTTGAAAAAGTGAGAGCTGGCAGAGTTATAGGAAGTGACAGTGTCTGATAGTACTTACACAAGACCTGCTCAGAAGCAGCACCAAGTCTGACTGGCCCTTTCAGGCTTTGAACTGTCAGGGGTATGATTGGACTGAAGAGATGTAATTTCTCTTTTCTGTTTTGAATCTGTCTTCAGTTGTTTTCCATAAGTATGTATTAAATATGGTAGATATTCCATCCTTAACACACAGAGAAACCCCTTATGATAGAACAGAAATGCTGTTTCCCTGTGCATATGACAGTGCATCAAGGGAAAAAAAYCAAAACTGATTCTTTAAAAATATGGGATTAGAGCAGATATAGGACAAATCCTAAAACTTCTAAAAAGGGGATCCTTGAAGTATAATCATGTGTAATGATGTAACCTGCTCCCCTCTGTGTGTTTTTTCATAGAATCATGGACTGGTTTGGGTTTGAAGGGACCTTTAAAGCTTATCTTACTCCACCTGCCTGCCATGGGACTTTCCATTAGATCAGGCTGCTCCAAGCCCTGTCCAGCCTGGCCTTGAACACTTTCAGGGACAGGGCAGCCTCAGTGTCTGTGGGCTACCTGTGCCAGGATCTCACCACCCTTAAAGCCAAGAATTTCTTTCCAGTATTCCATCTCATCCTGTTCTCTGGCAGTGGGAAGCCATTTGCCCTTATCCTGTCCCTCCAGGGCCTTCTCCGAAGTCCCTCTCCAGCTCTCTTGGAACCCTGACAGGGGCTCTAAGTTCTCTCTGGAGCCTTTTCTGTTTTCCAGGCTGAACACTTCTTCAGCCTTYTCTTTGTACCCTCTTTTTCTCATCATCCTGAAGCTGGCAATTGACTCTTAATAGTGCAGCTTGAACATCTCCAGCTTTTTTCCCACTCCCGCTTCCACTTATAACTCCTTATTGCTCATTGTCCTTCTAGCTGGTGAACCCTTTGCCAGGGAATGAATGCTTRTCCTGCTGATGGTGCTCTGCTGTCAGTTTTTATGTCCTGCTGAAGAACCTCTCCTTAATTTTCACTCTGAGTTCAGGAGAGGAGATGCATCCCACAAGGAGTAACAAGCACCATGGCACACATTTGAGTCGTTTTCCTTCCAAARCCAGCAAAATTATTAGAGTCTTTGGGTATCTGTTTCCTGTGGTAATCTATGAACTCACTTYTCAGTCAGACAGGTGCTAGCCTTGGCCTGTTTTTTCCTTCCCTTCTATCACCTCTTCTCTGAAACTGCTTCTGTGCAGAAAAACTTACTTTTTTTAAAATCTGTATTTCTTCCAATAGAAAAAGGAGAGTGARTGTTTACAGTTGAAGATCCTGGTGCTACGTAATGAACTGGAGAGACAGAAGAAGGCCCTTAGTCAAGAAGCAGCTTTGTTGCATAAGCAAAAAAGTACTTTGCTWGACAGAGGTAAGTGTAAAGACCTTYGGCTAATTTATGACCAGAATGAAAATGCTGGTTTCTTTTATATTTTTGTCTGGCTCTAATGTGCTTATATTTTTTCTTTATCTGAAACTTGCAGCCGGGTATAATTTTTTCATGCTTCATGCTATACTGAGTTTTGGACAGCAGTTTCTSTTATCTTGTCTCTGAATAACTTCTTACTATGACACATCTCCAAAGCAATCTTAAATCTCTGCTTAATTGACATTTTATGAGAAAATCAGAAGAACTGTAGTGTATTACACTAAACATTGCCTTGATAAAGGGACTTCATAATGTCATGAGGGAAGTTGCTGTACCTGTGATTTGGATTCTGTTTCAAGTGTTAGAAGACAAAAATCCCTGTGTGGCAGCCCTGGCTTTTGAGCCCGCCCTGCCTTCCCAGCTGCCTCTGCCTCTTCTTCTGGGTCAGATTTAAAGGCACAAGCACATTTTGGGCATACAAGCAGATGGACTATAGGAATAGAGTATTATCATAAAATCAACCCAAGACAGTCCTTTACTGGCCAAGGTTCCTATAGTGAAATGCTTTATCACTTCATCTTTGGAGGTCACYAAGGCCAAGGTACATACATGTTTGATCTTACTGCAGAATTTTTTGTTTTCAATACTTAGTTGAGTCTAAAGTAACTAGTCACTACTGAAAACGGTGGGTTTTACCATGTATTTATTCTGGCTATGCAGGTATTGAGAACCCGTAAGTGGATAACTGCATTATGTGGTTGTGAGAGGAATAGGTATTAAAGGAGGATGGAATCTGATGGGTTGTATTTGGCTGGTAACTGGTTTGTAGTGCATGAAGACAGGTATTCCTCCTGTGGTGGCATTCCTAGCTTGGGAGCATAATATGGAAGATGGGTGGGTAAGAATAAGCAGAGGATTATTACCAACATTTTATCAGTATCTACTTCTAAAACTTTGGATAGCTAAGAAAATACTTYATACTAATTTTTTTTTCTGATTCCTCATGTTTCTTAGAAAATGCATTTGGGACTGAATACCAGAAACTTGAAGAGCATAATGAATCTCTGCAGGAATTAAGAAAGGAATGCACTTCTAAGAGGTAAAAGGACCTATGTTTATTCTGTAACTGAAAAAAAAAAAAAAGAGAGGCTTGAGAATAGGCCATTGAAAATGTCACTTCTGGCATCAAATTCTTCCTCAGGTTGCCCTAAAACTTCTGTTAAGAGATCCCTGCTACAATTTGTAGATATCTAAAGTGATAATTACCAGTGACAAGTCTAGAGAAGAAAACAGATGCTTGTTTGTTTGTGTAGGCTCTGATAGGACTTTTAGGTGTGTTTTATTGTAACATAGCTTCGTAATAACCTAATGCTTGAAGTCAAAATACGTCTAYAATGTATGGTACTCCTGAAAACAAAAATTAGCTTTGTTTGCTGTATTATTTTTGGGTATTATGCTAGCATTATCTAGCATTTCATATGATAGGAAGTGATAATTAGAAAGCTGTAGAAGGGATATGATAGCTTGGTAGCTTTATTTGGAGCTTTTGAAGAAAATAATGGTATTGTAATCTCTTTGCCCAAAGAGAACAGTTTTTGAARACAAATGCCCAGCAGACTATTCGATGCAAGCAGTTGCTGTCGGAGCTATCCTACATCTACCCTATTGATCTGGTATGTTTTCAACATCCTAAAAATCTGCTTGATGTGAAATGGACTTTCTATGACACTGCAAGAAATTATCATACTTTTTTTGTGATAAACAAGATGAGCAAAGAGGAGATTCTATTTCAGCTTTTTCTTATTTGGTCCTTTGATTACAAGCTCTACAGGGAGGGAACCTATGCYAGCACCTCTTACTCAATCTCAAACAGAAAAATAGAATAGCTGTAATTTAATGGATGTTTTGCATTTTGTGTACAGTTACAAAAAGTAACCCTGACAGTAGGCTAGCTGAATGCACAGAAACATGTTAAAATATTGAGCTTAAAAATCCTTTCTATAATGAAATTATTAATATAAAGCTCTTCACTCTTTAAAAAAGTTGCATTTATTTTCTGAGCTATGTGAAATGTGGATTAAAATAGTGTGTCAGTCACTCTTAAGTTAAATTGACTTTAGTTTTTTTTTTTTTTGGTTAGTTTGTTGTTTTTGTTGTTTTTGTTTGTTTGTTTCTTAGCTTTGTTGTCATTGTGTTTTATGCAGGTTTTGGTTTTCTGGATGTTATTGTTTCATTCTCAATTTCCACTGTTGATTTTAAATTTACAGAATAACCAAAAGGATTACTTCGTTTGTGGAGTCAAACTTCCTAATTCTGAAGACTTTCAAGGTATCTTTTGTATTCTTAATGTAGTTGTTACAGTTAACACTGCTTCTAARCTTCTTAAAATTAAGAAAACTGGTAGCAATACCTTAGGGTCCAAATTTTTGACCAGAATGATCTAAACTAGAAGAAATTAATTATTTATTGCTAATTCCTAGCTAAGGCAAAGGAAGTTTCTGTTGACTCTTAGTAAAGCACCTTTGTGTTCCAAGACTCCATATTGAAACACTGGAATAGGTTACTTAGAGAGGTGGTAGRGTCTCCATCCTTGGGGATGCTCAGAACTCAGCTGGACACACTGCTGTGCTTCGAGCCGAGGTGAGGACTGTGCAATTCCCAGAGGTGACTTCCAAACTCGGTGATTCTGGAAAATACTTGTGTCTGACCTAAAATTCCATTGGGGATTTTTTTTTTGAGTCCGTAAATCTTGGTGGGGCAACAGGCATGAATTGCTGTTTGGTTTGCTGTAGTTACTGGTGAAATTTTAGGTTTTTTGTGCAAGGTATTTGTTTGACACTTCTCTGGCAGTATGGAGTACTTTACRAGTGACCTTCTACTTTAACTGTCAATCATCCTATATTTCCAGAAGGAAGTATATCATATGCCTGCCTGTATAAGGGTACAGGTAACTGCATGCATTCATCTACAAACGTTTAACATTAACTGGAAATTGATTAAAATCCTCTTGAGGGTTTCTTGCCCCTAGTGTTTGTTTACTCTGGCTTCTTGAGCAGAAACCTCCATTGATTGTCTTAACTCTTTAAAGCCACCCCATAGTAATTAACTTGTACTAATAATATGCATATTGGAGGAATAATCTTTAAAACAAATGGATTTGTCAATAGGACAAAATTCAGTCTACTACTTTGTTTTCCTGGATGCACTAAATGTGGTAATGAACTCAGTTTGATAACTMTTGMGGAATCAGTGGTGTGCCATCTTCTGGCCCATTTTCAGTTTCCCAGTATTAATTTGTTGCAAAAGAATGACTAATTCTTTATGCAAGTTTCTAAAAATATTGTATTGGGAGGAAAAAGTACTAAGCATTCAATTTAATGAAATATGCGGTTAATTTTGAAACCCATCTGTCTGGTRTGGTTCTTACCTTGGACTCAGTAGATACTAATTTAAAAAAAATTAGGTGTCTGAAGCATCAAAAAAAAAAACCTATGAAAAACCAATTTTGTTGCAAATTTGTAACATTTTTACAAARTCCGTTTTGAGAGGGGGTCTAACTTAACTACATATGACAGGCTCTAATAGAGCTCAGTATGGTTGTTGAATATCATGTAAGCTTTCCTGAAGGTCCTCTGTTTAGCTGGTTTCATGGATGCATCAGAAGGGATGACTGTTGGGCTGTATGTATCCCTTAAAAAGAATTAAAAATAGAGAAAAGAGGCTAAAAGATGTAATTTGAATCGCAGACCTGTGTGTATTCCTGGCAGGTGAAGCTTTATGGTTGAAACTTTAAATATTAAATAAAAAATAATACTTTAAAACAGTAGGTTAATATAAGTGTTTCCAGTATTGACAGAGAACAGGGTTCATCRCTTGGGGTTGGTGTCTCTCCAACTGATCTCACTTGTAAATAAAGTTGAGGAGGAATGCAGCTTTCCACTGATCCCATTCACACATGTCAACTCCATCTACAGAAATGCAGAAAGCTTAATACTTGAGTTTTGTCTTGGGAATTTTGTTTCACTTTTCTTGTCTCTTCTGTACCCTCCCCCATCCAGGCAGTGTAGCTTTGAAAGTAGAATTTGCAGGAGAGCAAGCCATCACCCATTTTCTGTGCCTTTGTCACAAGAGGCAAACACAGTGAAGTGCAAACACTTCTAAAGCTGTCCAAAGTGACTCCAGGCCTCCTTTTATTCTGGAGTTCTGACTTCTGAGAGCTACATTAATTGTCATTCTCTGAGCAATAAAAGGATGAATACTACGATTCAGTGGATGCAATTAATAGTGGAATCCTTTTGTCATTGACAGCAAAAGATGACGGAAGCACYGCTGTTGCCCTGGGCTATACTGCTCACCTGGTTTCTATGATATCCTTCTTCTTGCAAGTGCCACTCAGGTATCCTATCATTCACAAGGGCTCCCGTTCTACAATCAAAGATAATATCAATGACAAGCTGACTGAGAAAGAGCGAGAGTGAGTATGTTGTAAATACACTAATGTACTTTCTTCAAAACAATAACACCAAAAAAATCCCACCTTAAACAGTTTTGGGTTGTCTGAGGTAACAAGGAGTTTGAAGTTACTTGTTACTACTTTCAGTAACTGTCCTTGAGTTTCTCTTCTTGGAATTCTGGGATGCAAGAGAGTAACTCAGCTTTGTTTTTCTGGGTCTGTTGACGCATACCTGGCTTTGATTTGGCATCCAGTAATGCTGGAAAAACTTAAATAGTATTTTGTAGTGTTTCATGAGTTTTGCCTTTTATTTGGAAGACTTGCCTTTTATGTTTTGCTACTGGCTATGGGAATAAACTGCAGATAGCAAGTGTAGCTTCAGTGGGGAGCTGCTGCCAGCAGTGGAGTAGTGGTTGATAAGCGTGAGAAAACAAATAGGTTTTTTTTAACACAGAGATTTTTAATCAATTGAAAAAGCACAGTAGCCTGCTAACTCTACAAGTCAACCGAACAGTCAATGAAGAGCTTTTAGTGTGTTCTGTAATCATTGTCTGAACATGTAGCCACACTGTTGTGTTCCTTCTAGGAAACTTTCTTGCTTTCTTTAAACTCACTCTCTGAATGCCTTCTCCTGCATTTTGGAACTTTGCCTGTTTTCCCACTGTCTTTGCACCTGTGTGCTCTAATAAGAAAATAGTGGCAATTTTTGTTTAAGGTTTACTTTGTAGCCTGAAACCACTGAACTCCAGGAATGCAACACTGACCAGTGATGGGAGGCCAACTGCTCCATTCAGATTCTGGGCACTGGCAAGGTTTGCCTAGAGAGGTTATGGATTCCCCATCCCTGGAAGTGTTCAAGGCCAGGCTGGATGTGGCTTGAAGCAATCTGGTGTAGTTGAAGGTGTCATTGCCCTGGCAGGTGCTTGGAATGAGACAAGTTTGAAGTCCCTTACAATTCAAACCATTCTGGGATTCTGTGATCCTATGTGTGTATGGATGGCTACAGTTGGGCTTGCWGCACCAGTAACTTTTTCTACAAAAGTTTGAAAAAGGAGCAAAGGAATGACTGAGGAGAAATGAACTTGTGGAAAGTAGCTGGCTCTATTGACAGGAAACTGTGAAAACGCAAATTCTTCTCTTGGGAAATAAATATGCAGCTAAAGTATTACAACATTTTAATACTAATTCCTCATAATCCAAAGCAAGATGGAATGGTTTTATTGTGCCTAGTTGACAGGATTGGGGTGCTTGAAAGTGTCTGATTTCTCTTTCAAGGTTAGTGACTTTTGGCAGGACAGGCAAGGCCTTACGATTTAAACTTGCTGAGGTCTTCCTGTTTGACATCTTAAAGTACAACTATATAATTATGTATTGCAAAGTAATTTTGATACCATTTTAATAACTTGTCCAACACACTTGTGGGTACCTTGATAGAACATTGACCTGTTTTGCTTCACTGTACTTCTCAAAGCATATGGTCATACTCCTTTGTGTACATTACTTTGAGAAGGGTTGCAAACTAGAATATTTGTGTCTTGGAAACAAGTTTCTGAGTAGTAGAGCTGCCTGTGTGTGGGTGTATAAAGATTAATTTGATTTCCTGTTCTCTGAGTCAGGTTGAAAGGTTTAGTCCTTCAGGCTATAGCCTTCCAAACTCTTGTGACTTAATACTTGATTTCCCAATAGATTTCAGAAAAGGAGAAAGTTTAGCTAAGTATATGAATCCCTGATGGGTTATTTACCTATGTTGTGCAAGATTTTTTCAGGATTAGCTCCTGTTGGAGATACTCTCTTACCCAGCCACTGGAGAAAGAATCATACCAACCCTAAGGTCTTTGGTTTTTATAGGTAAACCTCAAATGCCTTAAATTGCAGTTGTGTTTCTAAACTAACAGCTCATGTTTCTCCCTTGCTCCTAATTGCATTGAACACAGCAGTTAACATGCATTATTGAATTGCTTTATTTCAGTCACCTGTTCTTTAGTGGCTATTTAAGCTCCAACATAAATTGTTGAGTAATTGCAGTGAGGTAATCCCTATATTTGATCTTTAGTATAACACATAGCATCTTMATTATGACTAGGTTAAACATTTTATTTGTCCTTTTCTTGTTTGGTTTTTTTTGTGGTTTTTTTTTTGGGTTGGTTTTTTGTTTGTTTGTTTTGATTGCAGGGTTTCCCCATGATCCTTATTAGGAGCTTCTGGAAATTGTGTACTGGGGCGTATAGCTGAGATTTTTGCTCAGGAGCAAATTCATAAGTACAGGTGTTTGTTTTTAAAGTTACGCTGTATAAAGGTGCTACTACACTTTCAAGTTTCTTTAACAGTTTTTCTAAGTCCTCCTTTCTTTACCAGTCCTCCAGTCCTCCTGGTTAAATATTTTGAAAGCTTTCAGAATGTAAGTAACTTCTGGGAAATGCTTGCATCTGCTTCAGATTGGTTTAGTTGCATGATCCAGGTCACTTCTATGAAGACCTTGAGGATTTTCAATTTTGTCTGCTACAGTAACTGTTATATTTAGACTTTGAAGTAGGAGGCTGTGGTGAGAACTTAGCACTTTTCAGGACACTGTACTGCATGTGGAATGAAGTATAGAATGACTACCAGTAGCACATAGTATATGGTAAGCCTTGTACTTGTAGAGATATTAGTGTTTATAATCTGCTCAATAASTGTTGCCCTCTTGTATTCCAAAACCTGATTTTGGTACTACTAAAGTGCTCTAAGTTTTCTTCAATTAAGTCTACTTTTATGACTTTTTGAATTACCACGCTAAGGCAAGAATCTGATATTTATTAAATATCTCRTTAATTCAGTTCTTCAGTGGTCTCTTTAAGCATCTCCACAGTGCATCCAATATRTATGAAAAAGGAATTCTCAGAAGTTCTGGATTGTGAAAGATTTCAAAGCAATGAGTGCACTTCGAGTCAGTTTGCAGAGGASACTGTGTTTGGCAGGAGTGTTGACCCGCAGAGAAAGACTCTGCAGAGGGATCTGGACAGGCTGCATTGRTGGSWCAAGGACAGATGTGTGAGGTTCAATGAGGCCAAAAGCTGTGTCATGCCCTTAGRTCACCACAACCCCATGGAGCACTGCAGGCTYGGGGCASAGTGGCTGAAAAGCTGGGAAGGAYTTTGGGGSTGCTGAYCAACAGTGGCTGAACATSAGCCCAGGGGTGCCCAGGTGGTCMAGAGGCTGATGACACCTGGCCTRTACCAGCAATGGGGTGGCATCAGCCCCAGGGCAGTGCCTGTTGTCCTGTGCTGGGCACTGGTAAGGCACCACTGAGCCTGGGCCCCTYCCAACARGAAAGACATTGAGGAGCTGGAGTGTGCCCAGAAAAGGGGATGGAGATGTGGAAGGATCTAGAGCACCAGGAGAGGCTGAATGAGCTGGTGGAGCTCAGCCTSGAGAAAAATAAGCTCGGGGGGACCTTTTCACTCTACGACTCCACAGGAGGATGGAAGTTTCTGTTTCCAGGTAACAAGTGACAGGATGAGAGGAAACAGCCTCAAACTGTGCCAGAGAAGATTTAAGTTGGATATTAAGGAAACATTTCTTCCCTGAAAATGCTCTCCAGCCCTTGTACAGTCTGGTACACTGGTGAAGTCAACATCCCTGGAGGGGTTTAAAAGCCATGTGGATGTGTCTCTTGGGGATAAGGGGTTAGTGGTGGCCTTGGCAGTGCTAGGCAAGTGGTTGAATTTCAGATATTTTTAAAGATCGAAGAAACTTAATGATTCTATAGATATGTAACTCCCAAATTTAAGGTATTTAGACAGCAATGTGTTCCACTCTCCAGTGATGAACAAGCATTTTTGCAGAATAAACCACCTAAATTCTTCGCCACTGTTTTGGTGGAACTGAAACCTGMCACTTCATCACCTCCTCATCAACATAGTGAGAATGCTGAGATGAAACTATTTCTGRTATGTTCTGATACTGTGTCTCTCAAGCACTGTATTTAATACTTGTTAGTCTGCTTCCTGATTTTTAATAAAGAATGAYTTCCAGCTTAGGGCAAAATAAGGATTGTTATGTCTGAAGTGACACATACTTTGTGACATTTCCTGTGTTAGTGTRGCTGCTCATGCCATAATATTTTTGAATATAAACAGCTTGGAAATATCTGTATTCCTCTAAGAATTTTTTTAAAGGTCAGTCATCTTTCTGGTACGGTTTGTRTATCTGGACAAGGGAAATGCACATTCAGAACAATTATTTTTGTTAAACTTTTRSAMKAYMASTMSKASTKRTMKTSYAAAAGATTTTCAAGTCTTACTTACATGGTAGGTARCTTGGAACTGGAAATAATTTCAAGAAGTAGTTTTACTAACATTATTTCTCTGTAATAATAGTACAGAGAAATCAAATAGTATACACAATCTGACTGATGTACACCTTCTTCCCACCAAAATTTGTTAAGGGAGGGTTAGAAAACTAGCAGTAGTATGAAAGTGGTCACCTCATTGTCATACTTCATGGGGAAAAAATGAGGGGTAGAAAATGGCACCATGCCTACAAAGGTTTCTATTTAAAAGGTAGCAAGAACATTGTCATTTGCAAGCATAGCTGCTGGAGTGCTTAAAAGTCATTACACAGTTGTCTTGATCTCCAGGAAGGGCTATTTTTTTTTTGTCATATGTTTAAATTTTGAACTTGTTGYTATTCAATGTTATAAAGGTCAAAAATATATATCAAATTTAAAGATAAAAARCAAGCAGGATCCACACAGTCATGGAAGAAGCCTGACCTAGTCTTCTGCATTTTTTTGCAGGAATATTTGGCATTAGTTGATCTGAGATAACAGTAAACAACGGTAAAGGTTTTCTTGGCATTTTGTAATTTATAGAAAGATTCCTTTTTTTCTCTTTCACTCTGCCTGATAAATACAGACAGCAACAGGCCAAAGGGTTCAAACAACTACAGTGCAAGTCTTAGGCATGCACATTGAGGGATCTGACAACTTTGCAGTTGTTTTATAAYTTTGAGTTATCTCCCGAACCAAAATTTGTATGAGA